ATCATTTATAATCAGCATATGGTTTCCTGACAAATAGGTGCTTCTGAAGCAAAGCTGTTCAAGAACAGTTTTATGTAGCAAAATCTTACAGCATGTACTAGTTTTAAAAACATCCTTCTGAATTTTTACCACTGTGACCCTCCTAACAGTCCTGCTTCTCTAGGATTAGATAAAGATGAAACTGGTCACAGAGTTAGAGAACAGGGGAAACTGCACTGAAAATCAGGTTTTCTCCCTCAAGATTCATATTGCACTGACCCTGGAATTTCTCAGTAAAATAAATTCTCTTTTTAAATCCTCTCTTTTTAATTACTAAAGTAGAGATTTCTTTGCTAGCCCTAATGGACTAAAAAATAAGAAAGAATTCAAACCAACAAAGTTATCTGAAAAACAGAAAATGGGGCTTGGCGCTCAAGAGCAACAATGGTTATGGTGCCAGCCACATACACCGAAGCTGGCGGGTTCGAACCTGGCCCAGGCCAGGTAAACAACAAAGACAGCTGCAACAAAACAATAGCCAGGCTATTGTGGCGACTGCCTGTAGTCCCAGCTACTTGGGAGGCTGAGGCAAGAGAATCGCTTAAGCCCAAGAGTTTGAGGTTGCTGTCTGACGCCACCAGGGCACTCTACCAAGGGGGACAAAGTGAGACTCTGTCTAAAAAAAAGAAAAGAAAAACAGGCTCAAGATTTAAAAGATCATTCTTCTCAGGGCCTTAGTCCTTTAAGGTGCTTGCTAAATGTTAACAGTACTGTTAAAACACAGTAACTTCATTAATAAGGCATTAGAAATACAACAGCAAAATTTGTTTACTAAAAAGATAAAGAAGGAGTTAGATAATGAAAGAGACTTACATATTCAAATAGGGACTATGAAAACATGTCTAAGCTGACAAATACCAATTTTTAAAGTAAAAACTAATTGGAATCTAAATCTGCCTATCTTGCTTGGTACAGAACATCTATGTTAGCTCAGGATGAATGGAAAACAGATAAATGGATAAATCTGAAACAGATTTAGTGCCTCGTGCATTTTCAATGTGCAAGAAAAATATCCTGCACACCTCATGTCTTTTAAAAGAATCCAAGAAAGCACTTACAGGATGAGAAAACAAGCTATCCTCCCCTCGGTGCTCCCCTCCTCTCCCCGCACCGAGACAGGGTCTCACTTTGTAGCCCTCAGTAGAGTGCCATGGCATCGCAGCTCACAGCAACCTCTTACTCTTGGGCTGAAGCGATTCTCTTGCCTCAGCCTCCCCAGTAGCTGGGACTACAGGTGCCCACCACAGTGCCCAGCTGTTTCTGTTTTTAGAGACAGGGTTTTGCTCTTGCTCAGGCTCATGAGCTCAGGCAATCCACCCTCCTTGGCCTCTCAGAGTGTTGGGATTACAGGCGTGAGCCACCATGCCTGGCCCAAAACACGCTATCTCATCATTGTAACTTACCCACCTTCACTAAGTGCTTTTATGACAAACTTTGGCTTATAGAAATTGTGTTTAAAGAAGTTGCTCTTCCCTGCCACAGTTCCACAGCCAGAGCTACAGCATGTGTGTTGGTGAGGTAATGGCACACTAGCAAGGGGAGGCCATCCAGGGCCAAAGGCTCTCAGAGCAGCCCTGGGTTAGCCTGCCAGGTCTCTTGTTCTTCATCTCCTGCTGAAGTCTGGGTTTTGTCTGGGAATATAAAACCAACTAGTTTCTTATGAGAAGGAAGTTCCCAGAGAGTTCACTCTGGGACAAACATACTTTGGAACTACCAAGACAGGAAAACAGGGTATGCATGTGTATGACAAGTAACAGAGTCTAGAAAAGTCTACACCTTCTCCAAGAAACTTACTGAAGGCAATGACCAGAAGACGTAATGACTAGAGAAATATTGTGCATCATTATTAATATGCCAACAAGAGGCCTACAATACAAATGTTATATACATCTAACTCTTTTGTCATAAAAAACAAAGAATGGAGCCAGATCAGTTAAAATTAGAGAAAAATTAGAAAAATTTTGAAGGGAAAAGACAAGAAAAAGCAAAACCCAACCTAAAGCCTAAATATACTGGTGCCTGAGACAGTAACTTCTGGCAAAGTGAGAGTGAAATTTCATAAGACGACTCCTGGGCAGCAAGTCAAGGTGTGCTCAAGTGTGCAAACTCGGGAGGGCTGCCAGCTGCCACCAGCTCTATCGGGTCATTGGGGACAGGAGCGTGGGGACCCTCAAGTTACAGGAAGAATTCCAAGTTAACTGGCTATGGTAAATTTATTTTATGCATCAGATATTTCTGCTCTTTTTCCCTCAGTAATTTTTTTTTTGGTGGGGGGAGCCAGGGCTGGGTTTGAACCCATCACCTCCAGCATATGGGGCCGGAGGTGCTCCTTTGAGCCGCAGGCGCTTCCCTCCCCTTGGTAATTTAAGAGATCTCATATTTTTCTCCTAAGTTTCTTATTTTGGTGGGGAAAAAAACACGATCTCCAAAGAAAATAGTAAACAGCAAGTAGATCATTTAATTCTGTTAACTTCTTTATATGAGGGACCACTGTCAAAGTTTTAAAGATCAGGGTACCCACTTTAAAGACAGGTATCTTCTAACTGGAAGTCCGAAAGTGCCAAAACACTGTAGATGGCTCACCATGTCACCTTAATGCCCAATTCTAAGTACGTGCTCCCCCATGAAAACAACTGATATCATCTATATGCATAAGAACATCAATTTTATTTCATTTTTTTGTCAAGCATTCTATAAAAAGCAGCAATTACAGTTAAAAAGACAAATCAGAACATGCCAGTTGCTCCTTAAAAGAGACACAAGACCTGGCTCAGACATCTTGGTTCGGGCATCACTGCTGTAGGACCTTTGTTCCTCACCTGGGAACCATTATGCTGATCATATTAACTCATTTTGTCCTCACACTTTTTAAATGAGTCATTGTAAATGAAGAGTGTTTCGTTCAGATGTGTGTTATGGTCGCCATCATGCAACCAAGAGAGACTTCGGAAACATGGTTGGTTGTTAGTTTGAAAACACATCTTTTGTGTGTGTACTGAGTATCATGCTAGGACTAGAAGGCACAGAGACGCCCAGTCTGAGGATGACACTCCTGCTCTTGCTGGCTACAATCATTGTGGAGATTTGAGGGTGTCAAACCAGTCACTGCTCAAGCAGATACCCAACTGCCAAAGAAACAAATATAATCTACTGTCAGGTTCTTTCTATTTTGTTTTGTTTTGTTTTTTTTTTGAGATAGAGCCTCAAGCTATAGCCCTGAGTAGAGTGCCGTGGAGTCACACATTACAGTAACCTCAAACTCCTGGGCTTAAATGATTCTCTTGCCTCAGTCTCCCAAGTAGCTGGGACTATAGCCACCCACCACAACACCCGGCTATTTTTTGGTTGTAATTGTCATTGTTTGGCAGGCCCAGGCTAGATTTAAACCCGCCAGCTCTGGTGTATGTACCCGGCACCTTAGCCGCTTGAGCTATAGGCGCCACCACGATTCCTTCTGTAGATGGAAAATTTTCTAAAATTACAATTCCCTTAATCCACGAGCATGCTCACAAAAGAATCCCACAGGAACCAAGACACTGACCTCAGTGGCTGACTTTGGCTAAAGTTATGGTAAGTCATGGTAAGTTATCTGAAGTTCTTTTTTTTAAGAGTTTATTTGGGGTTTTTTTGGCCGGGGCTGGGCTTGAACCCACCACCTCTGGCATATGGAGCCAGCATCCTACTCCTTTGAGCTACAGGCGCCGCCCAGTTATCTGCAGTTCTAATATACATTTCTGTTTCCCACAATGCCTTTCATTGAAGGGCATCACTGAGATCAAGTGAATTCAGGACAGCTCCAGCCACTTCCCTGCCCCCTGTAGTTATCTGAAGGCCTGGTGATCCACGGTGGGAGGACATTCTAATAAGCAGCTGGCCAAGTGCTCACTAAGTGTTCATTGTCTGAGGCTTGTGTGTAGGGTAGAGAATTGTCCCATGTGCTTTCCCATAGGCAGCTGAGGTCCCAACACCCAGAAACTGTAGGGACAATTTGCTCTTGTATTTTTTAAAATTTAATTTAATTTAACTTTTTTATTTGAGAAACAGAGTCTCACTTTCTTGCCCTGGTAGAGTGCCATGCCATCATAGCTCACAGCAAACTCAAACTCTTGGGTTCAAGTGATCCCCTTGCATCAGTCTCCCGAGTAGTTAGGACTACAAGTGCTCACCGCAGCGCCCAGCTACTTTTTAGAGATGGGGTCTTGCACTTGCTCAGGCTGGTCTCGAACCTACGAGCTCAAGCAATCCAACCACCTCAGCCTACCTGAGTGTTGGGATTACAAGTGTGAGCTACCGCACCCGGCCCGATAGCATTTTAAATGTTCAGGAGTAAGCAGCAAGAGCATGGCAGGTCTGGCTCAGCTCAGCCTCATCTTACAGAGAGAAGTACAATGATAGGAGCCTGGGAGGGAGGAAGGCCAACAGAGTCACGCTATCCACTGTTGGCAAGGACTGAGCTGGAACTGTCCTTGGCCGTCTCATTTAATTCTCTTGAGAAAATTTGTGGTAATATCCATCCCTATTTTACACACCAGGAAATGGACGCTCAGATGGTGAAATGACTTGTCCATGGATCTGGAGTAAGGAAGCGTAGGTTCTAAGACTTGCATGTCTGTGATTCCAAAGCCAGTCTCCACCTCTCACAGAGGCTGCCAGAGGCTGAATGCCAGAAGGAAGCGAGAGACCCCTCCTCTCTATCAAAGCAACGGGAAACCATGGAATAGCGCTGGGGACAAGGCAAGCCCACTGGATGCTGGGAACCTAACAAATAGTACTGGCCCTGGAACTGCACTGCTGCTCAGCCAGAGTGACAGCAATGGGAACTTTCTCTGGGTTACACATGACCGAGTGCCAAGGAAGGAGCTCTCTGTAAAGCTTATGCTCTGATTCCATCTCTTTTCCCTCCCACTCCAGCTATGTCCCAGGTGCATCTGTTCAGTATCCTGGCCAAGCAGCTGGCTCACCTCCTTGTGGGAGTCTTTGTGGGCTTCCAGAGTCTTCATGATTGTCAGCTCGGCGTAGTTTTTAAATCTCGCTGGCTGGTTTCTCAGAATTTCCCGCAGAACTCTCAATGCTAGTGCTCGAATAGAATGCTGGAGTACAAGAGGAAAGGAAGACGTCACCAAACAACACACAGCACTTGACCACACGTGCCAATCAGCAAAGCCCAGCAAGGCCGAGCACCCAATTCTGGTTTCCCTGGCATCTCAGACCCCTCTGTGCAGATCACACAGTGTTTACGTGACACTGGCTCTCTTTATGGTCAGCTCCATGAGGGAAGGCATTGTGTGTTACAATGACATTCCCAGGACCCAGCACCTACGAGGGATCTGACAAAGGCTTCTGTAATGAACCTCGTGCTTGAGACCAAATGAAGATGATGCACCTACGTCCATTTTCAGTCTCCTGAGGACTTCCAGATTGCCTGATGCTTCGGCCTACAAATTATCCTTTTGTAAAATGTACTAAGGGACACATACAAAGCACCTACACATTTCATCAGCAAGGTGTGTAGGACTGTGAACTCTCTAAGGACAGCTGGAGACCTGTCATTATTCCTAACCTTCTGTGTGATGAGATCACTGGATTTGAACAGCCTTGAGTTATTTAAGGCCAGAGTCATAAGTCTGGAGGAAAGCCATTCCAAACAGACTCCTAATCTCAATAAAAGAGAATGGAGTTTACACCAAACAGAGCCAAAAAGTACATCCTGATTCTTTGTCATTCATCTGTACAATTCACACACTAATACACCATTCACCTGCCCTCTATATGACATCATTTTATCTCCTGATAGAGCCCAACCAGGTATAATTGTTTGAGCAGCTAATACTTTGCTTTAAGAAAAGTAAAACAGGCCTTTATTATTATTTTTTTTTTAACCATTCTTCTTCCTTTGCTTATCCCTAAACCAGATCATTAATCTGAAGCATCAGAAAATGACCTGAGTTACTATGCACACACCAGCCTTCCCCTCACCTGGCCACCATGTGAGTCCCCTCTCATGTGGCCCAGAGCTTGGCCTATTGCCTCATGGCAGTCAACCCAGTGCTGCCCATCTATCTCCTTGGCCACCACCCCCCCACCCCATATGTGCTACTCTCTTGTTCCTGCTGACTTGCAGGGAGCTGAACAGAGAGATGGAATCTTCCTCCCAGAGTTTAATTTCAGCAGCAATTCCAACATTTACTCCTATCTCCATAGTGTGGACCAGCTCCACAGGTGGGAGAAAACAAGGATCTGACTAGATACTCTCTCCTTTAAGAATTATCTACTATGTGCCACACGCAGATCACAGACCACGCATGTCACATTCAAATGTCCTCATGTGGAGAGGGCTTTTATAAGTTTAAAATTCATAATATAAGAGTTATACTTCTGGAACCCATAATTTGACCAGTTAATAATATTAGAACTGTTAACCTATGTAGGGGTAAACCAGAACAGAATTTCTTTTAAGAAGGTTTTTTTTTTTTTTTTTCGAGACAAAGCCTCAAGCCATCATCCTGGGTAGAGTGCCACAGCATCACAGTTTACAGAAACCTCCAACTCCTGAGCTTAAATGATTCTCTTGCCTCAGCCTCCAAAGTAGCTGGGACTACAGGTACCTGCCACAATGCCTGGCTATTTTTTGGCTATAGTTGTTATTATTGTTTGGCAGGCCCAGGCTGGATTCAAACCCGCCAGTTCCAGTGTATGTGGCTGGCGCCTTAGCCACTTGAGCTATAGATGCCGAGCCATTAAGGTCTTTTTAAAAATAAACATTTCTGGCTCAGTGCCCACAGCACAGTGGTTATAGTGCCAGCCATGTACACTGAAGGTGGCGGGTTCCAACCTGGCCCTGGCTAGTTAAACAACTGCAACCAAAAAACAGCGAGGTGTTTTGGCAGGCACCTCTAGTCCTAGCTACTTGGGAGGCTGAAGCAAGAGAATCACTTAAGCCCGAGAGTTGGAGGTTGCTGTGAGCTGTGACGCCACAGCACTCTACTGAAGGTGACATAGTAAGACTCTGTCTCAAAAATAAATAAATAAAATAAAATAAATATTTCTATTTTTTAATTACACATGAAACAAAGATGAAATGCACAAAGAAAAAAGTGCATCCTGGGCAGCGCCAGTAGCTCAGTGGGTAGGGAGCTGGCCACATACACCGAGGCTGGTGGGTTTGAACCTGGCCCAGGCCAGTTAAAACAACAAAGAAAAATAGCCAGGTGTTGGGGCAGGTGCCTGTAGTCCTAGCTACTTGGGAGGCTGGGGCAAGAGAATCGCTTAAGCCCAAGAGTTTGATGTTGCTGTGAGCTGTGACACCATAAAACTCTATCCAGGGTGACAGCTTAAGACTCTGTCTCAAAAAAAGGAAAAGAAAAAAGTGCATCCTACAAGACCATGCTCTATGCTAACGAAGTTTTTAAAGAAATTCTGCATTAAAGTAATTAGATACAGGAATAAGTTTCCCTCAACTACTACAAATCCATTTACACATAAGACAGAACATGCACATAAGCCAAGATGAAGCCTGTCACTGATGAAAATGTCTAACAGGGTGCTGAGAAAGCATGTAAAATATGAACAAATAAATGTTCTAATGTAAAGAGTAAGCCCAATTCAGAAAGGAAAGCTGAAGCCAGCCCTGATGAGAAAAGGACATCACGTCATGACCCCATTACACAGGAAGGGGCAAGGTAAGGCCAAACCAGTGACTCACATCTTTGTCTCCAAGGGTCTCCAGGAGCAGGAGCAGAATGGTCTTGAAGTGCTCCTCCCAGACCCCCAAGCTGTCCTCCCGAGTGATCTTCAGCAGCTCCAGCAGGGCGCCTTTCCTCTCCTCCACCCGCTCATTGTGGTTGGACAGCTCCTTCAGAAGGTCAGCCACCAGGTCAGAATGGTCGATGGGCACTGGAGACACACAAGGCAGATGTCACCTCATGAGGAAGTGCCGGCGCAGGTGCTCTCTGAGCCCTGCCTCCCAGAGAATGCACCCCACCAGTCCCCTCTGCCTGCCGCCCTGTGAGCCCTGCCTCCCAGAGAATGCGCACCACCAGTCCCCTCCACCTGCCGCCCTCTGAACCCTGCCTCCCAGAGAACGTGCCCCACCAGTCCCCTCTGCCTGCTGCCCTCTGAACCCTGCCTCCCAGAGAATGCGCCCCACCAGTCCCCTCTGCCTGCCGCCCTGCCTCGCTGCTCTGCCTCAGCCTGCAGGACCTTAGCAGGCCTCTTCTCAAACTGTGAAAGCAGATGGGTGACACCAGCAGGCCAGTGCCAACTGTCCTTGCCCTTCCTGACCCTCTCTCCCCTTCTATTTCAGACAAAGAGGAAATGCCTCTCAAGCCTCTCCTTCACTGTCTTCTCCCACACTCACAGTCCTGCATTACCCACCACTGAGCAGCCTCTTACCAGGATCAAATCCACTCCCATACACACTCCTTCCTCAAGGCCTCCTCACTCTCACATCAAATTAATGTCTATTTCCTTCTCCAAAATCAATCAATCAAGGTGTTTGGACAATTCACAGACTACCTATTCAAAGACTAAAAATAACAGCCCCAGGTCACTTAGCATAACTGCTTCCAGGGTTAGAGGCATGGTTCACACGGCAGAAAGGTATTAGTTTTCTCCCTCAACTCTATTCAATTTTTTTTTTTTTTT